TGCTCATGGGAATGCAAAATCATATAGCCACTTTGGAAAACAGTTTGGTAGTTTCTTAGAGAATTGAACGAGTTTGCCATACAATCCAGCAATCCCACCCCTAGGTGTTTTACCCAAGAGAAATGAAAACACATGTTTCTATAAAGATCTGTACATAAATGTGTAAGGCAGCTTTATTCATAATCAAAAGCTGGAAATAACTCAAATATCCATCAGTTACCGAATAAACAAATTGCAGTATATTCATACGATGGAAAACTATTCAGCTATAAAATAAAGGAACAGACTACTGAAACATGGAATGAGTTACTGAGACATGCAAATACATGGACAAATCTCGAAAGCATGTGCTAAATGAAAGAAGTCAGACACAAAAGCCTGCATATTGTATGATTCCATTTATGAGACATTCTGGAAAAGGCAAAGCTACTGGGCTAGAAATCAAATTAATGGTTGTCAGGGGCTGGAGTTGGGGGGAGGGGATTAACTACCAAGGGGCATAAGGGAAGTTTTGAGGTTGATAGAAATGTTTTATATCTTGATTGTGGTGATTACACAATGGTATACATCCATCAAAACTCTTTGATCTATATATGAAGATGGGTAAATTTTACTGTATGCAAACAATATCTTATTAAACTTAAAGAAAATGACACTCTAAGAACCAGTGTGATGAAGTGGCATGCATGGGGTGGGTGGTTTGGAGTCAAAAAAAGGATATACCAGTTGTGGGTTGCATGAATGTTCTGAGGGCCTAAATGTGATCTTGGGTTAAGGTAACAATGGAAGCCAAAAACAAGTGAACATCCACGGTTATTCTAATTTATGACTCTATTACTTTCCCTCTCAGGAAATAGAAAATGTAGATTCTGTAGAAGTCACACATAAAAATTGCTTACAAAACCTAGTGCGTACTATGTGCCAAGCACTGTTCTAACGACTTCTACAGATATGACTTAATCTTCACAACAACCGTAAACTAAGGAGAGACAGAACTCAAACCCAGGCAGTCTGACTTCAGAGTTAACCGCGGCATGACACCAGTATCACTTTTCATGTAGAGTTGGGAATCTGTTGCAGTGACAACCTGGCAAACACTGGTAGGGAAAGTAGTCATTGATACCAGGAAGAGCTGAGGAATATGAACTACTTTCCCCAAACTGACAGCTTTCATTTCTGGCTTCCAAATCTAGAGATTCACATCATTTTTACTCAATCCTATAGGCCAAAGGGCAATGCTGTAGCCAGCCTGCAAGACAGACCCCAGTGATCCTTACTTCCTGGTATGTACCCACGTGGGAGGCACCATTCCACCTTGAATAGTGTCAGTAATTTGACCTCTGTAACCAGTAAGGTATTGCAGAAATGATGGAGAGCCACATCTGAAGGTAGACCATTGCAGCTTCTGCCTTGCTCTCTTGGATTTGGTTTGGTTCCAGAATCTATTCCCTATGTGGCAGATTCTATTTTTTAAGTTAGCCACCACAATAGCTTCCATCCAACATGCTCTTCTACTTTGTCATCCTCTCATAAAGAGAAAGGATCTATGTCCCCTGCCCTCAAGTCTGGATGGGCTTCTGACTGCTAACCAATAAAGTACTGCACAAGTAAGGTAATGTGACTTCTGAGGACAGGTCGGAAGATGTATGCATCTTCAGCTTTGTTCACTGGATCACTTGTGCTTGGAGTCTAGAGCCACCATGGAAGAAGTCTGATTATCTTGACCCACCATGCTGGGGAAGTCCAAGTTATATATGGAGGGGTCCCATGTAAAGTGCTCTAGTCAGCATTACTGTACTTCGTCATCCCAGCTAGATATACAAGTAAACAGCCTTTAGAGATGATTCCAGCCCCAGAAAGCATTCCTCGGCTTTTGCATCTTCCCAACTGAGGACCCAGACATTGTAGAACAAATCAGTCATCCCCACAGTACCCTGTCCAAATTCTTGATCAATAGGGTCCGTGGGCATATTTAGATTTGGGGATAGTTTCTTGTGTAGGAATAATAACCAGGATACCCTGCAACTCCTGACAGTTTTGGCCTTTCCGAAAATGGCCCCTCCTCCCAGACCCTTGAGCCGGCCATCAGTTGAAGACAGCTATACTGCAGGTAACATATGATCTTAAACTGCAAAGGATGGAACCAAAGTTCTAAATTTTGAGGGTTATTTCGAGTGGCTGAAAACCTTCTTGAAGAATTATTTATTTTTTTTAAGATTTTATTTATTTATTTGAGAGAAAGAATGAGAGAGAGAGCACGTGAGAGGGGGCAGGGTCAGAGGGAGAAGCAGACTCCCTGCCAAGCAGGGAGCCCGATGTGGGACTCAATCCCAGGACTCCAGGATCATGACCTGAGCCGAAGGCAGTTGCTTAACCAACTGAGCCACCCAGGCACCCTTGAAGAATTGTTTATACTACATACCTCCCTTACAGTGGTTTTTAAGGCTGAGTAAATGGATAAATTAATTCACACAATAAAGATGGTCATAGACATAGCTTACTGTCTTAGTTTTTCCGGGCTGCTATAACAAAATATTGCAGACTGCATTGCTTATAAACAATAGAAATTTATTTCTCAAGAGTTCTGGAGGCTGGGAAGTTCAAGATCAAGGTGCCAGCATGGTTATGTTCTAGTGATGGCCTTCTTCTGGTCTACAGTCCTTGCCTTCTGGCTGTGTCCTCACATAGTGGTAGAGGCAAGGTATCTCTAATTCCATTCATGAAGGCAGAGCCTAAATACCTTCCAAAGGAAGGTCCCACCTTCTAACACTATCATCTTTGGGCTTAAGATTTCAACATATCAATTGGGGGGGGCACAAACATTCAGACCATGGTACCTACAAAATAAAACTGTCTTCAATTTAGAGAAAGTAAGTTGTCATTGAGTCTATGGAATGACCAGGATGTGACAGTGACAATGTCTGAGAGGTACCTGTTATTAATTTTAAAACCTACCAGTACCAAAGTTTCAAACTAATACATTCCTCTCCTTCTTGAGATGGTATCTCAAAATCCTTTCACTCATTACCTTATAAAGATTCATCCTGTATTCTATTTTGAAAAATAATGGTAAATACAAAATCAAGAAACAATGGTGGTCTCCAATATTTCACTAAATGGAAGCCCATGAGGACAGTAACTTTGTCAATCTTCTCCACTTCTGTATCCTCACTGCCTGGCACAGTGTTTATAACAAAGCAAGCACTTAAATTGGAAAATAAAGTCATAGAAGAAAAAAGAGAATGAGCTTATTCTCTGATGGATATGAAACTCCCTATTACCACAGTTAGGCTTTTAATTGTTTAAGTCTACAAGCAAGACAAAATGTTTTCTAGGCTGAAGGGCATCATGGGATATGTCCATTGGTGGTAAACCAGCAATCAATCAATCACCCAACAATTATACTTGAGTCAATTTGAATTTTTATTAACACACATTTTTCAAAGTTTGTACAAACCAAAACATTCCCGTGTTTCAAAATGTCCATTATACAAACATACAAATGAACAAAAGGTGTTACCAAAAGTTAGCTACTCAATTTCATGGTAAAACAGTGTCATGATTTTTAAAAACCAAAATTTCAAGACTGAGGTTTCTTCCTTCACTTTTCGGAACTTGTGGAAAGTTAGAAAATGTGTGAATCTGCTTTATATTAAATGCCAAGACCCTAAAAAAAGATTTAGTATAAAACTAAGTATGTGTTTTTATATTATCACTTCATGAAACAGAATTTCTCAAGTCTTCCAAATTAAAAAAAAAAAACAAAAAACCATGACTGTAACGTTTTTCACAATCTTTTCCCCATAGTCAAACGTAAATGCATCTGAAAAATATTATCTGACAGTTTATCTTTACCTAAAAGTTTCTCATTCAAAAAGTTACAAAACTATTTAGCACTGCCGTTTCCCCTGCGTAGAAGGGAAAATGACCTCCCTACTACAGTGAGATAGAAGCAACATGGTCCATTGTTTCTCTTCTCGGAAAGAAGCCACCCATTTCCACATCTCCGTCCAATTCTGTGCGTGGCTCCACTTGTGAGAATGTTATCACAAATTATAAGCATTTGCCTTAGGAAATGCCTAGCAAGTTAAACTGACTGCTTACAATTTTGGTACACTGAGGTACAAAGGTCATCTGCCCTCATGGTTACCTCTAGCCGCAGTACCCCTCCGTCTCCATTAATGATTCCAAGGTAGTTGATTTTACTGTGTTTCATGGGACATTACACATCTCTCATTTCTTTCACAAACATCCCATAGAGGACCTGAGAGAATGACTGGAAGTGCAAATCTATCTCCTCTCCTGGAAAAGTAAATCCATGTGCCTATTGGGTCAAGAAGGGAAAATAGGACACAAACAATTCTGGCTGAGGCCAAGCTGCTTCTGACAAGCACCTGTTTTCAATACATTTCCATTCAAAGCAAGGAGTGTGCAGGCTGGGGTGAATGAGGAGGAGTAAGGAGAAGGTACAGTGATACCATTTCTCGAAATCAGATTCAGAGTCCATACTTGAGCAGCTCATACTGACTCTCAAAATGCTCTGTAGTTCAAATATTATCCCATTTTGAATCTGCTCATTTTTTTAAAAAATGTTCTCTGACAATGGCCCAATATAACAAATGATATAAGTAAAAGGTTTTTTTTTTTTTTAAAAAAAGAACTGGCAGTGTGAGAATTTAAAATCAGTCACATAAAACAATCAAGAAAGGGGTAGGGGAGGAAATGTCCAGTAAAACCTGGACAACCTTTCTTTCTGCCTTTACTTAAAAAGACAGACTGTTCAAATCTTTGCTACCTCCCTTAAGTAGCTTCTTCTTAAATGCTCTTCCAAGAAATCCTCCAAAAGGCACTTAACTCCATACTGATGCATTGAATTGTTTCACCTCAGCAATCAGTTTTTAAGATTCCAAGGTAACGAGATAAGGTCTTCTTCCTTTACTAAAAGGTAGAGAGTAGAACTTGTTTTTTTTTTTAAGAGGCATCACTTTTACAAGAAGAACAAGCTAGGCTACCATTATTCCTTTATCAAGAAAAAGTTTCTTTTTTTAAAAAATAAATAAAACTCTGGCTATACATAGTACAAAGTTCATACATAATATACCTGGAAAAAAACCCAAGAGTATACCCTGAAGTAAAAGGTTTATTGGAGAGAGAAAGCCTCTTCCATTGTACCAAGTCTTAAGGTGGCAGTTTTCAAAGTTCAGAGGGTGGCAGTGATATGTGATTAATGCCAAACTATTTGCTCATGGGTATGGCAGGATGCAATGATGGACAAACAAACAAACAAAAATCATTCTGCACATAACACTGAGCAGTGACCACCACACACACACACACAGAGTAGTACCAAAGGGACGGACAGAGAGTAGTCGGGGTGGGGGGGGGCAGAAGGGAGGGAAAGAAGAGTGAAAGTGTGAGACAAAGAGCTTGGAACCCCAAACATCCAAGCATGCAGTCGTGACACAGCACAAACCAGGTGTTTCCATTCAGCCCACTGCGATCCCACAAAGGATAACTGTAATAAAATAGAGATTTCTTAAGAAAGCTTGCAATTCCCAGAGAACAGCCAGGTCACCAATCCTAACCCAGGAACCCCTGTGCTGTTGACTGGGAGCCTCCTTATGGTCTCTCATGGAGAGGTTATAGCTCCTGATTTCTCCGACTTCTTGCTCTTGGACAAGGCAGCTGCCTGCTTCAGGAGCTCTCGGTTTTTGGCCTAAACAAAAAAATTCAGTGGAAGAAGGATGTTTTAACAGGACAGAACATGTTTTTCATGCAGATGCTAAGGCATACAATGTAGAGGGTCAGGAAGAGAACAAGTTCTAGAGGCAGAAAACAACAGAAAGCTCTAGGGCTTGGTTCAGGGGAAGATAGTGTTTGCGGGAGGTTAATCAGCACACTTCAATCTCCTGGGATCCACAGTTACAAAAGGGTGCTTTGTGCAACACAAACAAACCGTGGAGTGCCTTAATGTGCTGGATAAACAGAATTCATAATCCAGACATCTGGAATCACATCTGGCTTATCCAAAAATCAAAACACACATTTATTACTGCCACTGTTTTTGAGGGAAAAAGATCAGAACACACCCAATAGTGAAACAATAAAAGACAGCTATAACGTTGATTAATGTGAATTTGTCAATACCCTGAGAACAAAGAAATCTGAGATAATCACTTAAAAATACAATCAGCTAAATACACCAGGGTTATCATATAAAATAAGCAGACTCACCTGCAATTGCTCTGTGACTTCCTTGTGGGTTTTCTCCATCTGGTTCATTTTGGCTCTCATCTGAGATTCTTGGTATTGAAAATCAGCCTTCAACTCTGTGATCTGAGGGGGGAAAAAAGGCAGAGTGACCAGAAGAAATCTCTGTGCAACAAAAAATGTTCTGGTACCAAAGAACAAAATGGTTTCCCAAATGAATGAAATCCAGGGCTCTCCTGAAGATCCATAACTATATCAAAGTCAGGGGATTCTGTATCCTGTTTTTTCTAAAGATATCCTGAAAATTACACAAAACCCTGACATATCATTTCTGATACATCATCACTGGCAGGTTTTAAAGATTTTATATATTGGGGTGCCCGGGTGGCTCAGTTGGTCAAGCATCTGCCTTCGGCTCAGGTCATGAGCCCTGCGTTGCACTCTCTGCTCAGCAGGAAGCCTGCTTCTCCCTCTCCCTTTGCCTTCCGCTCTGCCTGCTTGTGCACTCTCTCTCTGTGTCAAATAAATAAGTAAATCTTAAAAAAAATAAAGATTTTATGTATTTAATACATGCCAATAATCCTCCAAATAAATCAGTGATTATAATACAATATGACTGACGGTTTGAGAGAAGCCAGGAGCATAACAGCTATTGCCACTTATTGAATTTTTAACCCTGTTCCAGGCAAACTGTTTGAACAAGTTGTTTTTGTTTTTTAGTAATCTCTATGTGTGTGCGTGTCCGTGTGTGTGCGTGTGTGTATACATGGTTGTTTTTGTTTTGGTTTGGTTTGGTAATCTCTATACCCAGCATGGAGCTTGAACTCAGAACTCCAAGATCAAGAACTGTATGCTCCTCCAACTGAGCCAGCCAGGTGACCCAAACTGTTTGATTCTATTTTTTCATTCAATCCTATGATAAACCTTTGGGGGGGCAATATTCTTCCCATTTTATAGATGGGAAAACCAAGCCTTAGAAAGGGCTAAGTAACATGGCCAAGATCATACAGGTTAGCCAGTGGCAGAGCTAGAATTCAAACCCCAGGCCTTCTTCTACTGACTATGCTCTTCAAGAAGAGAAGAGAAATCTATGTCAGGGAAGTGATGTGTGAGCTGAGTTTTGAGGTACATGAGCTACAGCTGGCACACAAGGTAGGGAGAGGGCATCCGAGCAAAGGAAACTGTAGGGGCGGGCACAGCCCAGACAGTATGAGGTAACTGACAGCTTGTTCGAACGACTGAGGAGCATGGAGAATGGCAGGAGATGATGCTACAGATAGGCAGGCATGATGTAGAAGGGCCTGTGTTCCAAGCCAAGGAGTGTGACCTTGATTCTGAAAGCAATGAGAAACAATCTATTTGTTTTTGCTCCTTCTAAAACCCAAACTTTGCAAAGCAGTAGAAACAAGTGTTCATTTTATCTCTATTTTGCAAAATCCTTTGATGTGCCATTCTAATCTAGTCCATGAAGAAGATATACTTATGTCTGCTTTCATCCAGTAGTCATGTAGTAAAGTGGAAAAAATACTGGTCTCTCCCTATGAATCTCCACCTTACTGGCAGAAGAAAGCACAGGCTAGAAGAAAGAATGGCAAATCAGAAAGACTTAAGTTAATTACTTTGTTCTGCCATTTACTAGTTGTGTGATTTGGTACATCGTTTAACATCTTTGAGTCCGTTTCCTCATCTGTAAAATGAGGTCAAAATTAGATGGAAAGAATGCATATGAATATTTTAATGTTATAAATGCCTTTGTTAGCCATTCACAATGAAACCTAGCTCTCCAAACTTGGCACAAAAAAACATACAGCCTCAGGGAAAAAAACACAACTAGAAGAAGGGAAGGAAAGCCTAAAAGGAAAAATATTGGAGGATCTCTTCATCTGTGACATGGTAACAGTGATTCCTCTCTCAAAGGGCTTTTATGAAGACAAATGAGTTAATACATAGAAAGCACGCAGAATAGTCAGGCACATAGTTAAGTATCCAATAAAAGTTAGCTATTATTATTAATATATTAAGACAAAAATGAGATATTCTTTAAGAACCTAAAAATAAGATATATAGACCTGAATCAGAAGGATGTAAAAGGTTCCCTTAAAGAGGGGGGACTGTTAGACCAGAGTAAGACTTTACTGAAGATGTTAATGTGTTTAAAGAGTGGGTCACTCAGGAAGAGAGTTGTCAGTAATAGAAGCAAAGTGACCTACCAGTCATGCAGGAAGGCCTACCTGAACATAGTCCAGTAAGGAGGGAGACCTGGCCCACATATTTTGAGTATTACTGTCCCACAGACATGGCCATCCCAATAATACAGATGGAGACATCAGGTTCTCTTAGCTTGAGAGCATTAAGAATTCCAATTACATAACTACCTCCTCTTGTCCTGACTCCATGCTCATTTGGCACCTTCTGATTACAACCTTCCAAAGCAGCTCACGCTGAGAAGAGCAGGAGTCAGTTATGCCCCACTGTGAATTAAGAGGAGCACTGTAGTTTTACACATCACCTCTGTAAGCCTGGTTAACACGAGTCCTCCCTGAGAAGTGGAAGCTCCCTCCAAATGCTGAGAAAAATCAACTTGCTAAATGCACCTGACCGAGGTAGATTCACCATGGTAATACCAGCTCATGAGTCATCTTGGCAGACAGTAAGCCTCTCCCAGGATAGCCCAACCTTGCCACTGGATCTCTCAAAGCATCAGCGGCCAGTACCAAATAAAAATCAGTTAAACAAGAGTTAGTACCATGCCCTATGGTACCACATGCTTACCCTTGCATCATTCTAGCCTGAGAGGCATTAACAAAACTGTACCTTCTTCTCTTTCTCTAAAATCATTTGATCTTTTTGATGCAGCATCTTCTTCAGAGTGGCCACTTCTTCCTTCAGTTGGGCAATGATGACAAAGTGGTCAGTGCCCGGTGAGTCCAGAGCCAGATCTGGGGAAAAGCTGAGCAGAAACATGGAGGGGTAAAAAATCATAACTTGGAGGGATAAACCTTTTTCTACTTGAGGACACACCAGAGGCCGCTTGACTACAAGCTCAAGGGTAAGAACAACTATTTGAATTCCCAGCAGTAAGCACAATGCTCCATACATGCCAGACTCAATAGCATTTGCTAAATTGCACAGGCAAGGTGATCATGAGATAACTATACCAACCAAACCACAACCCAGAGCATTTCTGCAGCATCTCCTCTCACATTCAAGATGAAGACAAATGCATTCCCCAAGAGTCAAGGACGTTTTGTTTCAGGTGCATTGAAGATTCCCAATTATTTATGGGTGAAACAGTCAATTTTTTGTGACTAACTCATTTCCCTAGAATCTGGATAAATTACCAATTGTTAGCTCACATATTTTTCTTTTAAAACTCCCCACAGAGCTCATCTTTTGTTTATTTTCTGCCCCAAAGCACCACGATGTGGTGCACCTGCTAAGACGCTGCTGCCTGGGGGCGCCCAGGTGGCTCAGGTGGTTTAGCATCTGACGTTGGGCTGCCGCTCAGTGGGGAGTCTGCTTCTTCCTCTCCCTCTGTCCCTCCCCCCACTCATTCTCTCTCTCTGTCAAATAAATAAATAAAATCTTAAAAGAAAGAAAGAAAGAAAGAGGCTGTTGCATTCCATCTCAGGAGCAGTCAGTCCCTTCTAAAAATTATAAAAAGATGAAATTTTCTTCTAAAGATTTTATTTATTTGAGAGTGAGCGAGAGAGAGCACGCACAAGCAGGGGGAGTGACAGGCAGAGGGAGAAGCAGACTTCAAGCCCCGCTGAGCAGGGAGCCGACGACGTGGGGCTCAATCCTGGCACTCCAGGATCATGACCTGAGCCGAAGGCAGACCTTAACTGACTGAGCCACCCAGGCGCCCCAAAAAGATGAAATTAACAGGAAGGAAGCCAACTTCCCCTACACTGCAACTGGCCTGTTGACCACCACTTCCAATATCAACAATTCAATGATATTTAGTTAGAAAAGGAACAAAGAGGTGGCAAATTCCAGAGTCACACCACAACCTGGATTTTCAACAGATTCTTCTCAATAACAGCACCTGAGCACTTCATTTTTTCGAAGTGCCAGGTGAACTCTGTCCTCTTAGCAGAGTCCTCTAACCAGGCCCAGCTCCAGGGAATCTGTAACCCCCTGAAATTGTATGTATAATTCGGTGTACACATACAATGGGTGGTTTCTAGGATGAGGATCCATAGCTTTCCCTGGTTGGTCAGAGACGTCTTACACCCAAAACAAGTTAAGGAATCACTGCCATGAGAGTCAAATCCTGCCCTTCTCTAGAGATTTCCCAAAGAAAGCCTTACTCTTCCCAAGGCAACCTTTAAAGTAAAACACAAACCTGTTCTTCCTAAGCAGACACTGGAATATTGATTCCCAGCTCCCTACATCAATATAGCAATGACTCCAGGTCCCCCTTGCTGTTGGTTCATTCCTCCATCTTGAACTACATCTAATAACCAGCATTTCTCTACACAGGTAGAAACTCCAAATAGCAAGTGGAATCACTGGACATCCTCAGAGTTACCAAGCCAAACATTCTATGGCTAGAAGACACAGTCCATTGATAAGAATATTCTCTCTTGGTCCACATGAAGCATGTGAGAAGAATGTCAGAAGAATGGACCCGTTGCTTTTATAACTGATGAATATGCAGAATTACTGGGTAACAAAAAAGTAAATGCCATATAATAAAACAAGGCATGCAGGAGAAAATACTGAAAGAACCCATCAAAGTCTCCACCAGTTTCAATACCTGCCAAGGGACTGTCTTCCCTCAATCCAAGAGAATTTACTTAAGTCCGTAACTAGAATGACAAATGAAACAGAGTAATGGGCTAATATAAATCTTGTGGTCCCAAAAGCTCCTAATGTTCTCCTCTACCTGCTTCTTAAGAGAGGATTCTTCCCATACCAATACATTGTTAACAAAACCAGTTGTGTCTATCCTGTGTTAGGGCCTGACCTTTCTAACTCTCTAACTTCTGATTAATAAGAACTGCTAGAAATCAAATGAAAACAGATGGCTAGGTTAGCAAGGCAGAAAATTAGATCCAGTCCCTTTTCAAATATCTCCAATGACAGGGAACTCACTACTTCTCTAGGAAGCTTCTTGTCTTTTCTAAACCTTTTTTTTTTTTTTTAAGATTTTATTTATTTATTTGACAGAGGGAGAGAGACAGCAGAGAGGGAACACAAGCAGGGGGAGTGGGAGAGGGAGAAGCAGGCTTCCCACTGAGCAGGGAGCCCGATGTGGGGCTCGATCCCAGGACCCTGGGACCATGACCTGAGCCGAAGGCAGACGCTTAACGACTGAGCCACCCAGGTGCACCCTTTTTCTAAACCTTTTAATATAAGAGCAATCCTCCTCAGGGTAAGCCAAAACCTGCCCCCCGCCCCCGTCATTCCTATCCTTTGGCCCTGGGTCTGTCCTTGAAGGCCACACAAAGTAAGTCTACTCTTTCAGGCATATTTCAAATGGAGAATGAAATAAAACTATGAGGAGGGGCACCTGGATGGCTCAGTCAGTGGAGTGTGTGACTCTTGATCGCAAGGTTGTAAGTTCAAGCCCTGTGCTGGGTGTAGAGACAACTTAAAAATAAAATCTTAAAAAAGGGGCACCTCGGTGGCTCAGTCGTTAAGCGTCTGCGTTCGGCTCAGGTCATGATCCAGGGTCCTGGGATCGAGCCCCAATTCGGGCTCCCTGCTCGGCGGGAAGCCTGCTTCTCCCTCTCCCACTCCCCCTGCTTGTGTTCCCTCTCTTGCTGGGTCTCTCTCTATCAGATAAATAAATAAAATCTTTCAGAAAAAAAAAGTTAGACTTTTAAAAAAAAATCTTTAAAAAAAAAAAACCTATGAGGAAAGGAAAAGAATGTCCTTTAGAACAATAAACCACAAGGTGTGCCTGGGCATCACCCAATGTTGAGAGTGCTTTTTTATCACCAACAGAACAACAAAAAAATATGATAAAAAAGTAGCTGGTACATTTTCTCTGGGAAGAAAAGCTAGACATGAACTCAGATTTTCCTTAAAAGTTTTTGCTACAATTTCAACAAACTAGAAAATATCAGAGGGAAGCTGTGAATTCTACAGGATACTAAAAAAAAGACAAAGGCATTTTAGAAGTATAAAACTATTTGAGGGGGCACCCGGGTGGCACAGTTGGTTGAGCGTCTGACTCTGTTTCAGCTCAGGTTGTGATCTCAGGGTCATGAGATCAAGCCCCGTGTCAGGCTCTGCACTCAGTGCAGAGTCTGCTTAAGACTCTCTCTCCCTCTTCCTCTGCTCCTCCCCCCACCAAATAAATAAATATCTATAAAAAAATAAAAAAATAACATTATTTGAGAAAAGGTTTTATAAAAAACCTAGGGGTGCCTGGGTGGCTCAGTTGGTTGAGCATCTGACTTCGGTTCAGGTCATGATCTCGGGGTCCTGGGATGGAGCCCCATGTCAGGCTCCATGCTCACTGGGGAGTCTACGTGTCTCTCTCCCTCTCCCTCTGCCCCTCTCCCTGCTCGAGTACACCCCCTCTCGCTTAAATAAATAAATAAAATCTTAAAAACAAACCAAAGCCTAACGTAATGTGTTCTCTCTGTATGATAAAGAAAGCTAATGGAAAAGGAAAAAAAGGAGAAAAAAATCAAATATGCCTCAAAACTTAAAAACTAAGAGAGGAGAATGTGGTAGAACACCAAGGTGAATGGGAAGTTGTTAGAGAGCAGCCTTCAGAAGACAAGAGAGGATAACAATGAAAGGACAAGAGCATATACGGATATTTTAAAAGCGGGGCCAAGAAAGTAGTCTGCGATCAACTGAAAATGGGGAGGCAGCTACAATAGACAGCTCAGAAGCGAGACTGTTAACATCTGGTACAGAACTGAATTCAAGATAGATACTCAGTAAAAAAAACTGGGGGTTTGCATGACATTACAAAGGGACCGTCAAAAAAAAGGGTTGTCAGAATGTTTTCAAAGTGAGGGGTGACTGGGTGGCTCAGTCAGTTGGGCATCTGACTCTTGGTTTCGGCTCAGGTCATGATCTCATGGGTTGTGGGATCGAGTGCTGTGTTGGGCTCTGTGCTCAGTGGGGAGTCTGCTTGGAGATTCTCTCCCTCTGCCCTTCCCCACCTCGCACTCTCTCTCTCTCTCAAATAAATCAATCAATCTTAAAAAAAAAAAAGACACTTTGTAGAATCTGAAATCAAGTTAATAAAAAAAGGTAACAGGAAAGAATACATTTCACAGATGCTTTGTGCTCCTTAACTGAAATTCAGCCCTGGTAAGCCTACGTGCTAGTCTACTCCCATATCCACCACTGGCTGGGAGGGAGAACCTATATTGGGCGTTTTCAGAATGGAAATGATTCCAAGGATTTTGGGGAAGAGTATGTCACTGTCTCACTTCAGGATGCCTGGGCCTGCAGAAACAGGAAAATGGGTGGCCCCAAGACTTGGTTGGGAAGTAACACTGCACCAACACGAATGGGGCACTCTAGACATGAGGACAAAGCAGCTTGCAAAGGAAGCAGCACTCAGAAGAGAAAGCAAATAAAGATATGTATTTAGACAGGTTTAAAAAGAAGTAAAAATATTTAAATGCATCTCGTTCTCTGCTGATTATCTGCACTGGGCTTTCTGCATGCTAAGGAAGCATTGATTACCCCTCACAGGCTGAGCAATACTGTCTTAACTTCAACTGGTCTCTCTGCTCCACCTCTCAAGACCAACTCCTGCCCTGCCTGGAGGAGGCCACAGGCACAGATCATAGTGAAAAGCATACAGCTCCTGACTTCTTAGAATTAGTGTGGGGGAGTTATTTGTGGACTACAGGATTCAGCTGCTATTAAATCCAGTTATATGTGCTTATCTTTTACTGACAGGATTAGTTATAAACAAATATTGGCACTGCTTATTCATAAGCTATCAAGTGGCTAATGTAATGACCCTCAGAGACTCAATAACAACCCTAGACTAGGTCCAAGGCATACCCTGGAATATACTCCTGTTTCAGGAACTGTACATGCAGCCGCTCAAACGGAAGCATGCACACACACCAACTGGCTTACCTGTCTCCATTGGTTGTGATTGACTCAAACTTGGATTTTTTCTTCGGGATTTCATTTTGAATTGAAGATGTAGAAAGTGTTTTCTGGCTTTTAATGCAAAAACAGAGAGACAGACATTAGAAATAAAAGATTTATAAAACATCACAATAAAAGGTTGTTAAATGGGACCAACATGATATCACAGCTCTTCCATACAAGAGCTAATTATTCTTATTATTTTTTTTTTTAAATTTCACTTATTCACTTGACGCAGAGAGACAGAGAGAGAGCACAGCAGGCGGAGCGGCAGGGAGAGGGAGAGGGAGAAGCAGGCCTCCTGCTGGGCAAGGAGCCTGATGTGGGGCTCGATCCCAGGATCCTGGGATCAAGACCTGAGCTGAAAGCAGACATTCAACCAACTGAGCCACCCAGGTGCCCCTATTCTTGATTATTAAAATCCACCAAGGTGTTGATTTCGTAGGTCCTGGATGCATGGGTAGCTCTCTTCCATAGGGCCCCAAAATTCTTAGCTTTAATTAAATATTACCTGCTTTATTAATAACTACAGGAACAGAGTCAATAAAATTTTAATAAGTACAATCTATCTTATAGTTTAAAAAGTACTTTTCTAAAAATCTTTTTAATTTTTTAAATTTTAAGTAGGCTCCATCCCCAATGTGGGACTCAACCTCATGACCCTGAGATCAAGAGTTGCATGCTCCACCAACTGAGCCAGCCAGACACTATTTCTACTGTACAGAACCTGAGGCTCATTGAAGTTAACTGACCTACCCAAGGATATATAGCTTGTCAATAGTGAAGCTGGGACTGGATACCAGGTTGAACTCTTTGTCCAGTTCTTCTTCAGTACAGTTCTATGAATCTACTATCGGAGTCCCACAACACCACTAAAAATCAGTTTTAGCCCCAATGAGTTCACCCTCAAGAAAGACCCCTTCTTACTTGATCTCTTCAATATTTGATACCACTGACCATGCCATCCTTCCCCCCTTCCAACTTTACTGAGGAGTAACTGACAAACTGTATACATGTAAGGTATACAACGTGACAGTTTGATCTACACGTTATGGAAGATAATTAACACATCTGTCACGTCACATAGTTAACTTTTTTTAACAGCAAGAATGCTTACAATCTACTCTCAGCAATTTTCAAGTATATAATACCATATTAAGAAGTCACTCTGCTATACATTAGATCCTCGGAACTTTTTCTCCTTAGAACTGAAAGTTTATATACTCTTTGACCTAAATCTCCCCATTTCCCCCTTTCCCAGCCCCTGGCAACCATGATTCCAATCTCTGTTTCTATGAAATTGGCTTTTTATTTTTTTTAAGATTTTATTTATTTATTTGACAGAGAGACACAGAGAGAGAGGGAACACAAGCAGGGGACGCAGGAGAGGGAGAAGCAGGCTTCCCGCCGAGCAGAGAGCCCGATGCGGGGCTCGATCCCAGGACCCCGGATCATGACCTGAGCCAAAGGCAGACGCTTAACGACTGAGCCACCCAGGCGCCCCTGAAATTGGCTTTTTAAAAAGGTTCCACATAGAAGTGATACCACAGAGTATGTGTGTGTGTATATGTGTATATATCACATTTTCTTTCTTTTTTTTTTTAATTAATAGCTTTATTTTTCCTCAATATACATTTTAGAAAATAGACCTAAGGAAAGGTTTCATGAAATAGACCAGAGGACTATATACAAAGTGAAGAGCTCCAGATCAGCGAGACCAAGCGCACAGTTGGAGCACTCTTCCCCGAGAGTCACAGCAGCCTAGGACCGTCCCATCAGAGGGGAGGCAAGCTCTTGGACGGCTTTTGAGTTCAGCTGAGGAATTGTGCTGATCTTCAGGAGTTTGCTGCTTGCATACTTATTCTTGATGGCGATGAATTTTGTTAAGTTTTCGTTAACTTTCACTACATTTTTGGCCATGTGCTGCATGACTTCCAATACTTCATTTTCTGTGTATCCAGTATAATACTGCTGCTTTAAGTTCCATTTTCCTTGGCCCAGAACCTTCTGGGACAGGCAGGATGCAGCCGCTGCCACCTTTGAAGGGTGATAATGCACCATGTCATAGTCAATGAGAGTCAGCTCCATCAGATATTTGGCTAAAGTGTGCTGTTCCACATTGACCTCCCCGGCTTTTGATGCCCACCTTAAGAAATGTAGTGGCAGGGCGCCTGGGTGGCTCAGATGGTTAAGCGTCTGCCTTCGGCTCAGGTCATGATCCCGGGGTCCTGGGATCGAGTCCCGCATCGGGCTCCCTGCTCCTTGGGAGCCTGCTTCTCCCTCTGCCTCTCTCTCTCTCTGTCTCTCATGAATGAATGAATGAATGAATGAATGAATGAATAAATAAATAAATAAATAAATAAATAAATAAATAAAATTTTAAAAAAAAGAAAAAGAAAGAAATGTAGTGGCAAAGGTCAACCCAACTCAAATTTCAGTTCTTTCAAAATCAGTGTTTCCATCTCTCGGATTTGGGAACTGGTATAAGCATTGTCTGTGATGTAAACGAAGTCTTCAATATTTGGAGAAAACATCTCCTCATATTTGGAAGCCAAGAGCAGAGCTGTAATCCCAACCAGCTGAAGCTTCTTACGAGAAACCGGCTGAACCTGTAAAAATCGGTCCATGATGGCGACGCACATGTACAGAGTCTCCTGAAGAAGCCTAAACTTGGAGTGGACTTGCACCAGCCAGTCCACCAGGATGGAGCGCATGGTCCGTTTATCTCTCTTCCATCTAAGAAGTGTGGATTTATGGATTGCAGAACCTCAAGCTGCCGTAGATACTGGTAGATATCCTTAACGTAGTCGCTGCAGAGCTGAGGGTTCTCCCAGTCCTCATGATCAATGTCCTCGATTTTGCAGAGCAAGGCATCAGAGAAAGCTTGGCAGAGATTCTCTTCCTTCATGGAGATATCCTCCTGTCGGGGGGAAGGACCCTTTGGAGCCAACATTTCCATCTGTACCGGTTTCACAGAAGCAGTAGGTTTCAGTTGTTTGTTGACATTTGTTTTGGCGGGCTGAACAGGTATTTTGGTGTTCTGAGCTTTCTTAGCCACTTGTGTAGCTCTGGTTGTAACTCTATTTCCAATTTCTTCTAAAACTGCCCGTCTGATTGTCACATGACTCTTAGCTTTAGAATTAACTCCAGTGTCAGCATTCTCCAAATCAGTGGACACCGTCGGGCGTCGGAGCAGCGCCATGTGGGAAGGGGCAGGCAAGAATGCCAGCCCGGCCCAGGGAGGGACGCGGACCGGAGAGGGAGGACACAAACTTCCGTGGCGCCGTTAGCTCCGCACTCCGGCCCGCACCGCTTAAAGACCTTCCTCTATCACATTTTCTTTATCCATTCATTCATTGCAAATCGTTTACATTGTTTCCATCTCTTGGCTATTATGAATAAAGCTGCAATGCACATGGGGGTGCAGATAATCTCTTCAAGATACCGATTTCATTTTCTTTGGATATATACCCAGGAATGACCACTGGATCATATGGTAGTTCTGTTTTTAATTTTTTGAGGAACCACCATACTGTTTTGCACAATGGCTATACCAATTTACATTCCCACTAATGGTGTATAGGGTTCCCTTTTCTCCATAACCGCACCAACATTTGTTGTCTTTTCCTCTCTCTTTTTTTTTTAAAGTAATCTCTACACCCAAAGTGGAGCTCGAACGCACAGCCCTGAGATCAAGAGTCACATGCTCCACTGACTGAGCCAGCGAGGTACCCCTCTTGTCTTTTTGATAATAGCCATCTAAAAGATGTGAGGTAATATCTCATTGTGGTTTTGATGTGCATTTCCTTGACAATTAGTGATGTTTAGCACCTTTGCGTTTATCTACTGGCCATTTGTATGTCTTCTTTGGAAAAATGCCTATTCAGGTCCTTTGCCCACTTTTAAATTGGATTTTTTTTTTTTTTTAGTATTGAATTGTATGAATTCTTCATATTTTTTTTATATTAATCCCTTATCAGATACATGGTTTACAAATACTCACTCCATCCTTCTCGAGTGCTTCTAGAGTTCTGTTCTCAGCCTCCAACTTGAATTATATCATCCAAGAGCATGGTTTTAACAACTACTTATCATATGGGTTGGAAATGGTATTCCCCAAATGCAGATTCACGGACTCTATCCTACATCCTATTGAATTAAAATCTGGGGTGGAGCAGCAGGAATCCACACTTGATAACAACTTTTATTCCCACTGACTCTTATGTGACCAATGGGGCACATCTGAACCTTTCTTCTGAGTTCTAGGCTAAGCTCCCAAAAAATAATTCTTCTTGATTCTCCAAACTCAACATTTTGTTTTTTTTAATTTTTTAAAAAGATTTTATTTATTTATTAGAGAGAAAGAGAGAGCACAAGCAGGGGGAAAAGCAGAGGGAGAGGGAGAAGCAGACACCCTGCTGAGCAGGGTGCCTGATGCGGGGCTCAATCCCAGGACCTGAGTCAGGACCTGAGCTGAAGGCTGATGCTTAACCGACTGAGCCACCCAGGCGCCCCACAAACTCAACTTTTAAAAACTGAACTTCTTGGGGCGCCTGGGTGGCTCAGTCGTTAAGCGTCTGCCTTCGGCTCGGGTCATGATCCCAGGGTCCTGGGATCGAGCCCCGCACCAGGCTCCCTGCTCGGTGGGAAGCCTGCTTCTCCCTCTCCCACTCCCCGTGCTTGTGTTCCCTCTCTCGCTGTGTCTCTCTCTGTGTCAAATAAATAAATAAAATATTAAAAAATAAATAAATAAAAAAAATAAAAATAAAAACTGAACTTCTCTTCTTCCTATATTCTTTCTCAATTAAGAATCTACCTATTCACCCAAGTAAGAAACCTGAGAATTATCCTTCACTCACCCAGCTCTTACCCTTCTACCTGTTCATCAATTATCTAAATTTCTCATAATTCTCCCTCTAAACTATCTTCCTGAATCTGCTTCTTTGATCTCTGGTGCCATGGCCTCAGTTGAGGTTCTAATATTAACATCTCTTACCCTGGACTCATAAAAAAGCTTAACTAGCCCCCAGTCTCTTTTTCTTCCAATGTATTCTCCACAATAATCAGGGTTAATTTTTTTACAGACCCCAGGATTAGGTTCATGCTCCTTAACATGTCTGCAGAATCCCCTTTTCTCCCATTCCCTGGCTCTCAAACATAAGGTCCAGCAACATAAAAGGACCTGCAATTCCCCAGGATTTCATGTGGTCTCACGCCTTCCATGTCTCTACAAATGCTATTTCCTCAGCCTAGGATGCCTCTGCCCATTCCCTCTGTGATGATTCCAACTCATCCTAAAATCCAGCTCCAACACCAGCTCTTCTCTGAGCCTCACTTACCTGACTTCCCAAGGCAATTAATTACTACTGCCTCTCATGCCTGTATCTTGATGCTTCTCATGCTCATCGAATTATATTGCAATGATTTGATTACAGGTCTGTCTTCCCTACCAGACTACGTACTCTTGGTGAGCAGCATGATGCTTTCATTCATCTCTGCCCTCCTAGCAGAGTCGCTGGCCCATGAGAGTACTTAATAATGTTTGCTAAATGAACAAACAAAATCATAATGGTAACAATAACAAAGAGTAACTAAAATATATTGAATGCTTCCTATATGCCAGTTATAAAACTGATCACTATGCATTCACTATATAATTTATCTTCACAACAATTCCATGAGGTAATACTATTATTTCCCTATTTTAAAGATGAAAAAGCTTGTCCAAGATCCCACACAGAGGGGCGCCTGGGTGGCTCAGTTGGTTAAGCGACTGCCTTCGGCTCAGGTCATGATCCTGGAGTCCCGGGATCGAGTCCCACATCAGGCTCCCTGCTCAGCAGGGAGTCTGCTTCTCCCTCTGACCCTCCCCCCTCTCATGCTCTCTCTCTCTCTCATTCTCTCTCTCAAATAAATAAAATCTTTAAAAAAAAAAAAAAGATCCCACACAGAGAACCTGGCAGAGCTGGGATTCAATCCAGAGCCAGAACTCTTAACAACACCTCAGATACTCTGAAAGGAAGCTAAGGCTACAATGAAAGGACACCTTTTTGACTAGATCCCACCAGGACAAACCTAGAATATCTATCAACCTCCTGGCCAAATATGCATTAAAAAAGCTGCATGCCTCAGAAAGTGAAATGTCCAAACTTTTAAGGAGATAACCCACTCCAAAGGTGAGAAGAACATTACAGGGAAAGTAGAACAAGTTCCACAAACTTTTCAGACACAATACAAACTAAGTCAGGAAATCCTGATACCTTATGGAAATCTCTCTGGCACTTGGAAGATATACGAACTGTAAAATATGGTAAAGGAGATTCCTCCTAAGGATAGTAACTAGAGAGAAAAGACTAGGAAAATGTATACCAAATGGTATCTTCCATGGCTAATTGCGTATTTTGCCGGACCAACCAGTACTTCCAGCCTATGTTATGCATCTTGGGGTTACCTGTTATAATGGCTGCCACCACTCAGTCGACTATACTGTTCCTTCTCCTGGTGGCTGGCACGGGAAGAGCTGCTCAGATGTTTCCTCTGCTCTTTGGTCTTTTGAAGGACCCGTTTGTATGAAAGTGTACACAGCCAGCACAGCAATTTCCCATCTACCTGAAACACAAGGAGACAAAGATAAAGAAAAGAGAATGTGGTACATGGGTACTACAGGATATAGGTACTGGCAGCAAGAACCTCTGGGTTATGTCCCAGTCCTGCCACTTATGAGGTGTGTGAACTTAGGCAAGTCTTCTACCTCAGTTAAATCTCCCTATGTCCTGTGAAGCAGCTACTGTTATTTCCCACAGGAAAGATGATGAAACTGATGCATAATAAGATTAAGTAACTTGCCCAGGATCATTCAGTGAACCCAGGTCTACAGGACTGCAAAGCTTATACTCCAACTATTATTATATGCTACCTCCTGATTCCTAAGTCAGCTTCTCCAGTATCTTGATTCAGAGAAGATGTGCTCTGGTTGGCAAGCAGGAGTAATCTGGTCACTGGAGAGTTACATCCTCCCATTTTAAAGTAATGAATTTGGTTAGCAAGAGTTAGCTCTTGTAAGCCTAAGTATCTCCAAAAAGTAGCTCTGGACACTGAAAAGGTTTCTGTACTGTATTCTTTCATTAAAAGAACATTTATTGAAGAGAACAAATTGATAGTTGCCAGAGGTGGGGAGTGGGGGGTAGGTGAAATGGGTGAAAGTAGTCAAAAAGTATAAATTTGTAGTTATAAAATAAATAAGTCACGGGGATATAATGTACAGTATGATGACTATAGTTAATAATACTATATTGCGTATTTGAAAATTGTTAAGAGAGTAGATCTTAAAAGTTCTCATCACAAGAAAAAGAATTCGGGGCGCCTGGGTGGCTCAGTCATTAAGCATCTGCCTTCGGCTCAGGTCATGATCCCAGGGTCCTGTGATCGAGCCCCACATCAGGCTCCCTGCTCAGGCGGGAAGCCTGCTTCTCCCTCTCCCGCTCCCCCCTGCTTGTGTTCCTGCTCTCATTATCTCTCTCTATCAAATAAATAAATAAAATCTTAAAAAAAGAAAAAAACAAGAAAAAGAATTCTGTAACTGTGTATAATGATGGATGTTAACTGGACTTATTGTGGTCACTTTCCAATATACACAAATATCATTATGCTGTACATATGAAACTAATATAAGGTATGTTGATTATTTTAAAAAGATATATAAAATAATCACTTTTTTAATCACTTTTTAAAAAGTAGAAAATGAGAAGCACACTTTTTCTCAATAAATAACAGCAAGCTGGAGATGTATTTCAGATTCATATTTTGGCCATTTCTGGTAAAACAATTGAAAGGGAGAGGAAATAGTTCTCAATAAACTATAACTTTTATCAGTCTAAATATATATATAAATATATATGGGGGGGCACTTACTATGTGCCAGGCCACTGAAATGTGGCAAAGAACAAGATGGATATTTAAAAAAAAAAAAAAAAAAAGAACAAGATGGATAGAGCTCATGTTCTAGTGGAGGTGGACAAACAAGCAAAAAAGCAAGATTAATTTCTCACAATGTTACATGCTGTGAAGACAATAAAACAGGGTAATACAATAAGGGGTGAGTGAGTTAGTAAAGGGTCTCTGTGAAGAAGTGGCATCTGAGCATGAGGAACCAGTTAAGACGCTTTGGAGAAGGATGTATCAGGCAAAACGACAGCTAGCACAAAGGTGGGAATGACACGGGCATGTTTGAAGGACTGAAAGGCAGCCAATGTGGCTGAAACAAGGTGAGGGAGGGGTGGGAGGTGTGAGGTCAGATGAGACTGAGAGGCAAGTATGGGCCATGCAGGCTAGGCAAGGGGTTTGGGTTTTATTCTAAGTACAGCCAGAAGTCACTGAGTTTTAAACAGAACAAATCTAAACCACTTTTATTCTACCAATGCCCCATCGCTCCACATAGGGCTCTCCTCCATGTCATCCCGTGACTTTTAATTTCAACAGAGAGAAATAATTAGAGTCAGATAGTGAAACTGGTCACATGTCTTGCTTAAGTCACAATCTCTCCTTTACAGAATTCAATAGAATTTTGCCAATCATCACTTCACTTATATGGGATATTGATCACTGTAATTCAGATTCTCATGAAATACTAACTCATGAGATATCAGAATATAATGGTCCAGGGGTGCCTGGCTGGCTCAGTCAAAAGAACATGCGACTGTTGATCTCAGGGTCATGAGTTCGGGCCCCACCTTGGGTGTAGAGATTACATACATACATACATACGTACATAAATAACAAACTTAAAAAATATATATATACTTTAAAAAAAAAAAGAATAAAATGGTCCACATTTAGTAGATGAAGAAAACAAAGGCTAAAAATCTTCAAGGTCAATAGTAACTAGAAAAGGAACTAAGAATTCTTTTCTGTCATATGTCTTTTTTTTTTTTTTTTAAAGTAGGCTTAGAGTGCCTGGGGGGCTCAGTCGTTAAGCGTCTGCCTTCGGCTCATGATCCCATGGTCCTGAGATGGAGCCCCACACCAGGTTCCCTGCTCAGCGGGAAGCCTGCTTCTCCCTCTCCCACTACCCCTACTTGTGTTCCCTCTCTCGCTATGTCTCTCTCTGTCAAATACATAAATAAAATCTTAAAAAAAAAAAAAGTAGGCTTTAAGTAGGCTCCATGCCCAGCACCAAGCCAAACTCAGGGCTTGAACTCACCACCCTGAGATCAAGACCTGAGCTGAGATTAAGAGTCAGACGCTTAAAAGACTGAGCCACCCAGGCGCCCTTCTTTTTTTTTTTTTAAAGATTTTATTTTTAAGTAGTCTCTGCACCCAACTTGGGGCTCAAACCCACAACCCCAAGATCCAGAGTTGTATGCTCCACCCACCAAGCCCAGCAGGCAACCCCTGTTTATGTCTTTTTGACACAAGTGACCCACCTTAATTTCTCTGAAAGAAAAAGAAAGTCAACAAGAACACCGAGATTTACCTTCTTTCTGTCATCTTTCCTGTCAAATGCACACTGCTGCTTACACTGCTCACACGAATATGGCGGCCCATACTTCTTCTCCGAATTCGTGCAGCGCTGGCACTTGTTGCCGATAAACGCTGCAATTATGTTGCAGTACTGACAAGGTTTGGGCTTAAGGAGAGAAAAAGGGTCAACTGAGTATATTACGAAATACCAGTACATTTTTTAAAGCAATCATTCCTATTACACAGTTCATTGTAAAAATGTATTCCTGACTTGACAAATTTCCTTCTACATTGATCAAATGAAGCCCAATTCCTAACACTACGCGTAAGGTGTTCTTCTGCACAGGACTACTGACTTAAAAACAAATAAATGAGCAAATAATAAAACCCCATTCATGTATATATGCTGGGACTTCTGTGAGAAATTCAACAGAACCAGTTCTTTGGAGAAACCAGCAAGGGCTTCGAAATTTCTCAAAAGGCCTCTTTGCCATTATCACCATATCACAAGTTGGGAGATTCCCTGCAAGGACACAGTATCCAGAACCCTAATACTGAGAGACAAAAATCCGTTCATCAAAATGAACAGTCAACTGCTACCAAACAAAGAAGTCACATCGTAGGATCTATCTTTCCCCTCCTCTTTTCATACTGGTTACTGAAGGTCTCAAGGAAAATTATAATGACAATCCTACCATCATGACCATAAACACAAACCTTCTCAATACTAAGTATTAGCTAAGTTCGAAAGCTCAAACACTAGATCAACTTCACTGAGGATGTATTGACACGTAACTAGTTCTAATAAAAATATGGTAATTACATCAATAATCCACAGAATATAAGGTTCCAAGAGACCTGAGTACTCACTGTTAGGTACAGAGAAACCCTACTTACTGTTCCATATAACTGCACATTCTGAGCACATTTCTTGCATATTGTATTGGTTTTACTGTTAAGGAAAAAAGAGACACAAGGTTTTTATAAGAAAAAACCTGTCTTACTTACAACATCTGAAAACTGATTCCTCCGTAAGCCCACAGAATTTGCTCATTGCTAAGTGCCAAGGTGATATGTGGTCTGGATACCTGGTTAACTGAAGGTTGAGTATCTGGCCAATAACTCTTCTATTAATTATTTTGTGGCTACTAATTTTATTAGCTCAGATAAAATGAGACTTTAGTTAAAATGGAGAATGAGTTATTTCTGATTATCACATCTCCAAGTATCACTAAACAAAATTATCAAATATGGACAGAACCCTCAAAAGAATATTATGTTAGACTGAAATGGACTAGAAGTAATTCTCCTCAATTTGGATAAACAGCTGAGAAACCTGAGGTGAGAAATAAAGTATATGTGTTTCGAATACAAACTTAAGAGATTCTATCCATGTTGACTTTACTCTGTCTACACTCTCCTCTGTAAGTAAAAGCATTTGAAAATCCCAGATGTGAGGAAATAGATGCTATGACCAACTATTTTATCAATATTTCCAATTTCTCTAACAACTAAGCACTGATAAAAATAAAAACTTTTTTTTTTTTTGAAGATTTTATTTATTTGGCAGCGAGAGACACAGCGAGAGAGGGAACACAAGCAGGGGGAGTGGGAGAGGGAGAAGCAGGCTTCCCGCAGCGCAGGGAGCCCGATGCAGGGCTCAATCCCAGGACCCTGGGATCATGACCTGAGCCGAAGGCAGATGCTTAACGACTGAGCCACCCAGGTGCTCCTAAAAACATCTTCTGTCTTGTGAAGGTCCCAAGGTGATAATATTACCTAAATATCTGAACTGATAAACTACCTTGGGGAAAAAAATCATCTTCAAATAAAGTTTAATTCTTCGCAAAGGGAGGTACAAACAAATGCTTGATGTGCAAGAATAAACAATATTCTGGGGCTGAAAATAAAATCACATAAAAATCCAGTCTATCAGATATTTTGTGATTATTTTCCCATAAAGTCCTATAAAAGTGACTATAAAGTTAAAACAAAGAAAAACGTCAAAGTAGAAAACATTTAAATTAAAAGAAATATTCAAACAAAATATTTTCCAGGGCAATTTTCTGCCATTTTAAAGAGGCCATATAAGAAGCAAGGTGCATTTAAAGGAAACTCTTTTAGAAAGAGGATTCACATCAGCAATTCTGTGATGTCGAACATTTCAGTTTATGCTTAGATTTATTACTGAAGAAGTGGGACATATATACATACAAATGCTCCTGACATCTCAGAAAACATACAAAGAAAAACTATTTCTATGATCCATCTTGAATCAATTTTTTTAAAGATTTTATTTATTTATTTGAGAGAGAGAAAGCACAAGGGGGGTGAGAGGCAGAGGGAGAAGCAGACTCCCCGCTAAGCCGGAAGTCCAATGCAGATCTCGATCCCTGGACTCGGGGATCATGACCAAAGCCAAAGGCAGACACTACACCAACTGAGCCACCCAGGTGCCCTTGAATCAATTTTTTTTTTAAGATTTAATTTTTTTTAAGTAAACTCTACACCCAACATGGGGCTTGAATCTACAACCCCGAGATCAAAAGTCACATGCTCCACCGACTAAGTCAGCCAGGCACCCCCATCTTCAATAAATTCTTATGTATGGTGCAAATTCAGGGTCAAACTTCATATCTCCCCCGCACCCAAAAATTAATTCAAGATGGATCATAGACCCAAATGTAAAAGCTAAAACATAATGCTTCTAGAGGATGTTTTATATGTTTCCATTTCTATGAAATGGTAAAACTGATCTATGGTGGAATGGAAAATCAGAATAGTAGTTGTGTGAGGAAGGCAAGAAGGGTAGGGATTGACTGGGATGAGGTATGAGAGGACTCTCTGAGGTGATGATAATGTTCTATTATTTCGAAAGGGTTTGGGGTTACACAGATGTACACGGTTTGCAAAACTCATCAAATGATGTACTTAAGATTTGAGCATTTCACTGTGCACAAATTTTATCTCTAAAAAAATAAAGGACCGTAAATAAATGTTGAATTTTGTTAATGATATGCATGCTTAACTGTTTTGCATCAAGTATACTGATGTCCACAACTTTAAAATGCATTACAGGGCGCCTGGGTGGCTCAGATGGTTAAGCGTCTGCCTTCGGCTCAGGTCATGATCCCAGGGTCCTGGGATCGAGTCCCGCATCGGGCTCCCTGCTCCTTGGGAGCCTGCTTCTCCCTCTGCTTCTCTCTCTCTCTCTCTCCCCCTCTGTCTCTCATGAATAAATAAATAAAATCTTTAAAAAAATAAAATAAAATAAAATGCATTACAAATAAGGTGGATTAATACACTAATGGATAAATGCAAATACAGTAAACATAAATTGTAGAATCTAAGTGGTGGGCATATGAGTGTTTATTGTCCAATTCTTTCAACCACTTCTGGTTTGAAAATATCCATAATAAAATGTTTGGGAAAATGTTCCTAGAACTGAAATAAGTCTGATTAAAATTAGGTTTCTAGGTCTATGTGTGAGCTGGCAAATAGACCCCACCCTGTTTTAAGGAACTATTACAGTTGCAGTCCCACAGAACTTACTACACCAATAAACTACTTTGCTGCTATTGAAAGTCTCCCAAAAATGTGTGTTTACTCACACCTAAATGTTTTTCACATTTTTAAAAATGAGATTTAAAAAAAAATAACAAACCCTTATCAGAATGGTCACATTTCTGAAAGTATCTATCTTCCTTTCGATTATAAATTCTTGAAGCTCTGAATATAAACATACTGAAACACGAGGCTCATTGTTTTACTGCTGTGGTTTCTTCGTGTCATAAAGATTATAAACACAATATAAAACGATCAAGGATCTTAAAAAAAAGTAACTTTAAAAATTAAAGCAATCAATGGATAACTTTGGGAACGATAAGTGTGTTTTGTATTCGTCAATGTGTTAATCTGTGTATAATGCACTCAATTACAGATCTGTACCATGAAAAACAACTAATTGTCGATTTTAAGAGGAAAAAGCCTATTAACATCTTCCATGGTCAACAAAAACTGTACCTCTCCTGCTGGTACTCCGTTCTACAGTAGGTGCACTTCACAACAGGGTGTGCAATCCGACATTCCTGAAATGAAATGAGGATATAATTTTTAAAAGGCAGTCAGAAATGGAAACAGCCTTCAGTAGGAGGCAGAAGACCTGGGTACTATTCCCAGCATAGCCACTGTGCTTGAGTGAGTCACTTGAACTTTCTGGGCCTTATTTTTCTCTTCTGTAATATTGGCATCACCAGCCTGCATTGATGTGGGAATTAAGAAAGAATTTATATGGAACTAGTCATAAATTGTAAAACAAAAGTATGAATGAATAAGTCTCAGAATGGAAATCAGAAGCCCTGGATTCTAGTTTCAGTTCTGCCACTTCCATTGTTTGATTTTTGAGCAATTGTGAAATGAAAATGCTAAATTAAAATCATTATTGCTTACCTATATGAAACTTCCTTAAAAGCAATATATATATTTCAAATATATATATGTATTTACATAAAGCCTAAAAAAGCACTCAAACATCTGAGCTCTCTCCTACAGAGTAAACGGAGTGACAAAGTCATGGCCATTTGAGGCAACGGTAACATACAGTTATGAGTTAACCCATATCAGAGGCACAAACTCTGGATTATCTGGGAATATCTCAAAATCCATCTCAGGACGGCTAGGTGACTTTTAACTGTCACCTCACAGCACTTCTATTAACTTAAATAGGCAAAGCAAGATGAAGCAACTCAAACGAAAAAAAGAACTTGGACCTTCAGGAGTAAAAGCAGTAGCTGGTTAGGGCCAGGACCGAAGGTCACCAACTGGATGCTGAAAAATCCTTTTGCTTCGTGCGCTTAATTGTGGGGCTTTTCTATAAAGCCGCGCCACATCCGACTCTGAGACTGGCTGGAAAGTGCCCGTGAGGCGCCCGAGTTGGGACACTCTCCTCCCAGGCAGCACCCAACTCTGGAGTTCAGTACCAGGCGGGGTAGGGGGTCCCTCAGTCTGCAACCAACGACGGGGAAGCCAGCCCAGGAGGGATCTCGGTGCGTCTGGTCGGGGGCAAGCAGGGGACCCACTGTCCCCTCCCTGACCTCAAGGGGTCCGAGAACAATCCCTCGCGGTTGCTAAGCACCGGGACACGCCGGCCGCGGGGGCCTGGACGGAGCCCGGGACTCCCCCACGTGCCCCGCTGGCCCCCAGCGGAGTGGGTGAGGCGCCTCTCAGCTAGGCGGGCCTGCCACGCCCTGCCCGGGGGACCCCGCCGAGCGGCCCCGCAGAACAGGGGGCTCCGGGCCGCACCTCTGGCGTCCCAGTTCCCGGCCGCCGCCCCAGCCCGCGCACCTTGCACAGCTGCTGCCCCTGAGACAGCGCCTCGAAGGGGAAGCGCTGGTGGCACTTGGTGCAGGCGTAGAGCGCCGCCATGTCCGGCCGGGGCCGTGCTCACCGCCCAGCCGGCCCGGCCCGCCGCTTTATCTGACAGTCTGAGAGACAAGCTGGCGGCGGCGGCGGCGGCGGCGGCGGCGGCGGCGGCAGCAGGCTGCGGGCTGCGGCCGGCAGGCGGGCCGGCGAGTGCGGGCGGATCAGGGCGGGCGCCGCGGCGCTCGTCGCCCGTTCACTGGCTCATTTCGACGTCCATCAAGTACTAAGGGGCGGAACACAGGGCTTATGACAACTCTGATTCGATCTGGACTGGAATACGCCACTTATGACGCGCGCGGCCTCGATTATGTAAAGCGCAGTCACGCGGGGGCGCCACTAGGAGGTACCTTCTCCCGCCCGGGACCTCGGAAGCGCCCAGACCCCTCCCACTTCGCTCTTTGTTCCCGCCCTCGCTCCGCCTCTCCTCGGCCGCGGTCGCAACCGCACCTCTCGCGATACCTCCGCGGAGTTGTGATGTTTTGGTTTCCATGGAGCTGCCCTCTGGGAGCCGGAGGGGCGCGGTTGGGCGGAGAGCTGCGCATTTTTAAACTACAACTCGGGCAAGATCCCGAACCTGAAAAAGGTGGGGGGCTTGTGAGAGAACACCACCATCACAGGGAGGGAGAAGAGGAAACCATGAGAGACAACCTAAGAGGGGTGCCCTCTGTCAGAGATCCCTACAAAGGGGGGAAACTCGAGGATTGTTGACCTCCAGAGAGGAAGGGGGAAGCCCCAGAGAGGGACCCATATGTTGAGGAAGAGGGCTTAGAGTGATGACAGCCCCTCCAGGACGATGTAGAACAATACTAAGGCGAGGCCCTCCAGCCCTCAGTGTCCTCCTGGTCTGATGGCCTCCCGCAAGGTGGTATACATTTGGCCTGAGGCCTATTTCCTACTTTGTGTTCCCCAGTTGCACCCCCAGCTTTTCTTACAAACAACCACCTGAGGTTTCCTGGCTGACTCTGCCCCCACCCCCACCCCCAGGCAAGCCACATCCTCCTGGATACTCTGCCTCTCTTCAGCTCTCAGCTTGGCACATATAGCGGCCGCCCAAGGAATTGTGAACTTCTCGTTCTTAGACTTTGGCAAAGTTTCCTGCAGTGCTGACCTTTCCAAGTCCCTGCCCTATAGCTGCTCTTGGCCTTAGATTATTTTTGGTTCTGCCAACCACCTATACAGTACTAATTGCAGTTTTACTTCAATGTGCATTTTTTATAATTGAGGATGCACTTATGGCTTCTACATCCCTGCCCCAACAAAATTTACCTCCGAAACCCAAATCCAGCCCCCTTCTTGGGTGTTTGCCCAAAGTTGTGTGTTAATCAAAGGTTTAGGCTCTGGGGTCAGAAAACTAAGGTTCAAAATTACTGTTCCACATTTACTAGCTGTGTGACCTTGGATTTATCACCGAACTCAGAGCCTCACCTTCCTCAATTGTACAACTGGATCATTATGAGGATCAAAAACAGTACATGGAGGGTAATGGGGGGAAACTACTTAATAAATAAGGGGTTTTACTTTGGAATGATGGAAATATTTTGGTACTAGACAGAGGTAGTGGTTGCATAACATTGTGACTGTACTAACTGCCACTGAATTGTTCACTTCAAAATGGTAGATTTTATATTATGTGAATTTCACCTCAAATCATTAAAAAGAAAAAGGATTTAGGTTTGGGAGCTAGACTGTGTGGCTTTGAATCCCAGCTCAATCACTTAGAAGCTGTATTACTTTGGGCATATTAAACACAAACAAAATAAACAAGAAACAGTAAAAACAGTATATGGAACTTGGTACGCTAGGTAAATGTTCATTATTAGAAGAAAAAAACTGTGTTTTTTTTTTAAGATTTTATTTACTTATTTATTTATTTATTTGAGAGAGAGTAGAGCAAGCGAGCGAGAGAGGGAGCATGAGTGGGGGTGGGGGCAGAGAGAGAGGGAGAAGCAGACTCTCTGCTGAGCAGGGAGCCCAATGTGGGGCTTCATCCCAGGACCCTGAGATCATGACCTGAGTTGAAGGCGGATGCTCAACCAACTGCGCCACCCAAGTGCCCCAACTGTGTTTCTTATTAGGGAGATGTTGCTGCCTTGGATGTAAATACAGCATCCCTTCTACTCACATCCATAACCCCACACTGGGGTATGAGTCTCTCTGTGTTCCAGGTCTGATCTCCAATGTATTAGTTACCAGCTTTCTAATTGCCTATTTACACATTTTTCATCCATCAGACTATGGCATTATGGAATATAAGGACCGTATCTAAGTCATTTCTGTATCCTCTTTACCCAGTGCAGGGTGAATTAATCCATTCTTTCAACAGATCTTTATTCAGTATTCAGTCGAACAGCAAGGACTATGCACGATGAGACATACCACAAGGATAGAGAACAATGTTAGGATAGGGGAGAGAAGCTAAGGGGAGTCACCTGGGTAGAGAAGATCAGGGAATAATTTTCTGAGGAGATGCCAAGACGTGAAGGTCAAGAAGAACTTAGCCATACGACTTAGCCAAGAAAGTTCTGGGCAGAGGGAAAGATGAAGATCTTGAGGTAGAATACAGCTAGGCATGTACAAGAATGAAGAAGCCACTATAGCTGGAGCTTAGCGGGACAGAGACGAGGAGAGAGGTCGGCAGGGATTGTCTGGGGCCAGATACGGACGTGGATTTTTTTTTCAAAGTACAATGTATGTAGTATAATGGGGAAGAACTCATTGGTAGTTTTTAAGCAGACAAGTGACAGATTTGTATTTTTAAGCCTTGTCTGGCTGCTACAAGGAAAATAGACTATAGGCAGCCAGCATAAAGGCACAGAGACTGGTGAGGAAGCTATTGCACTCATCCAGGTGAGAGATGATGATTAAAATGTTGCAGTGAAAGAAGTGGACAGATTCAAGATATATTTTGGAGAGAGAGGCAACAGATTTTAGGGATGGATTGGATTTAGGTGGTGGTAAGGGAAAGGAAGAAATTATGATCAATGTACCCAGTTATGTGGATGGTGGTGTCATTTCCAGCAAAAGGGAAGATAAGAAGGAAAGGTTTCAGAGACAAAACCAAGCGTTTTATTTTTGACGTACAGGCATGCATCATTTTATTGAGCTTGGCTTTATTGTACTTTGCAGATATTGCATTTTTACAAATTGAAAGTTTATGGCAACACTGTATCAAGCAAGTCTGTATGCACCGTTTTCCCACCAACATTTGTTTACTTCTTGTCTCTGTGTCACATTTTGGTAATTCTCACAATACTTCAAATCTTTACATTATTATATTTGTTACAGTGGTCTGTGATCAGTGATCTTTGATGTTATTATTGTAATTGTTTTGGGCAACACAAACCACCCCTATATAAGAGGGTGAAATTGATTAATAAATGCGTGCGTGCGTGCGTGTGCGTGTATGTGTG